ATACCTAACCTAAATGTTTCTTTCGGAATATTTTGTTTGTAATCAGCTTTCATATTTTTTAAATACTTCTTAGTCATGTCATCCATTTTTTTTAATTCCCCCCCACTCCTGGACTTAGGTGATAATACCTAACCTAAATGTTTCTTATTGTTTCGTACTTTTTTTGTTGAAATTTGTTTGTTTGTTTTTTTTTTTTTTAACAGTTTTTATGTTTTAAATACTTTTCACAGTCATTTCGTCCCCTTTTTTTTCTAGTTACCCTTTCTTACATATGTTAATGATTACATTATTTCTTTCTTTTCCTTTTACATCGTTTGTTATAATTTTCTATCCTAACCATTTGTTTTGTTAAGAAACGAAATATAACGCCTTAAGTTAAGATTCGGAGGATAAGAATAAGAAGAGAAATAAGAAGAATAATAAGGAAAAGGGATCGATAATAGAATTGCCTATTACACACGCTACTAACGTATAACTGTCTGAGAGAAAAAAAAATAAGGGAGTAATATAAATTCGGCGCAAAAACTTATTGTTAGATGTTGTCATCTTTATTAAATATTATATTCGAAGAAATTTGGCAAATTGTCAAATTAAACTTTATACGTATCTTATCATACTTATTCTCCTTTTTTTTTCTTTTTATATTTCTATTAGGTTGTCGTCGTTGTGAATGTTAACGTACTTGATATTATTCTTTTCTTTAAGTTGTTTGTTTTATTTTTTTTATTTTTTACTCTGTTCATAATATTCATAAGACAAATAATATATCAAAAAAAAAAAAAAAAATGATAAACTAAATCGTTTAATCAATTTTAAATTTGATACTTTGCAATGTGAACCATAATTGGATACCATATATTCGTTCAATGTTTTTTCTATTAACAAAAAAAAAAGAAAAAAGAAACAAAGCAAATAAAAAAAAAAAAAAATCATAGTCAATGATAGTTTGATTTATAAAATGGAATATCAAAACGTTTGACGATAAATTCAAAACGTGTGTATAAATTGCAATTAAAGGTGTGTAAATTCCCCCTTTTCCTTTTTTTTTTTTTTTTAAACATCAATGCACTTCAAATACTTATTTATATAAAATATATACAACACAATGGATCATTCTACACACAAACACACACACACACACACATACATATATATATTTGTTTAATTACGTTTGACAGTTTAAACATAAAACATTTTTGATATTTTCTCTTTTTATGATAATTTATGTGAAATGGCCGAATCTGGTTATGATTTTCAATACATACACATACACATATATGTATTTATATATAATGTAAGTATATATATATATATATAGGTAGTTTTTCTCGCGATCGATAGCTTTGAAAAAGACTCTCTTTTTATTTTCTATTTTTTTTTTCCTAACCACACACACACACACACACACATACATACATACATACATACATATACACACACATACTGCACCAAGCACACACGTACGATCACGATCGTTCAGTACGATACACTTTTCACGCGCGTGGGCGTGTATATCTCATCCAGATGGCGAATATAACCCGGGTTTGATATAGGAAAATGTGCATCGCTCGCACATATGGTCTTCTATCCTCTATCCTCCTCCTCCTCCTCCTCCTTCTTCTCCCTGTCCTCCCTTCTCTCCCCATCCCCTCAGTATATATACGAAGAATATT